AAGCAGACAAGCTAGGACTTGAACTGGCACTCCTATACAGGATGCAGGCGCTCCAAACAGCAGCTTAAACCTCTGTGCCACGATCTCATCCCACTCTATGGCTTTTTATCGGAGAATTTAATCCATGTATGTTCAAGGTAATTATTGATAGGCAAGGATTCGCTATCATCATTTTGTTAATCATTCTTTTTGTTATGTAGATACTCTGTAGAAAGTGGTGGAGGTGTTTCAGATTCTCAGGGGTGGAGGCAATGAGGGGAAAGAAAAGGCTTCCAGCACTGCAGTTTTCTCAAGAATGCCCCAACCGTCTTGCATTTATCTCTGACCAGAACTGTCTCATTGTCATCTGACGTTACAAGGGAAGCCGGGCTCACTAGTACTCTAAACTAAAGCAGCATTATATTGGTAAGGAAGGGGACAATGTATACAGAGCAGGACACCAGCAGTGTCGTTGGTACCAAGCACTGAGCAGCACACAGCCAGCCCTCAAAAACTGGAGCAAGATGACTCCAGCCACCTAATTCGCACCCTGGGAGAACGGCTGATGTAGTTGGGTTTCTGCTTCCCATGGAAGATCTGGATTGATTGGATTACTGGCTTCTCACTTCAACTTGGTCCAGCTCTAGCTGTTATGGGCACTGGGGGAGTGACAGAGGATGATGCCATGTGCTCTCTGCTTCTCAAATAAATCAACTAAGTTAAAAAACAAAAAACAAAAAAAACAAAAACAAACAAACACTGGTGAAGAGATAAGCCAGCAATTTAACAGATAAAGATAAAACTATAGGGGTCGGTGCTGTGGTGCAGAGGGTTAAAGCCCCAGCCTGCAGCACCAGCATCCCATATGGGTGCCGATTCAAGTCTCAGATGCTCCCCTTCCAATCCAGCTCTATGCTATGGCCTGGGATAGCAGTAGAGGATGGCCGAAGTCCTTGGGCCCCTGCACCCATGTGGGAGACCCAGAAGAAGCTCCTGGCTCCTGGCTTCAGATCAGCTCAGCTCTGGCCGTTGTGGTCATCTGGGGAGTGAACCAGAGGAATAGAAGACCTCTCTCTCTCTCTCTCTCTCTCTCTCTCTCTCTCTGCCTCTCCTTCTCTCTCTGTGTTACTCTGACTTTTAAATAAATATTTAAAAATATATAAAAGTATAGTTACAGGAGCACATAAAAAGACAGCTAATTCAAATTTGGGAGATCAGAAAGAGGTCGCTGAGGAAGTGACAGCTGAGACAGGACGCATGGGTAGGACTGCCCAGGGAAGAGTGTGCCAAGTTCAGAGGTGAGACTGGGTCTCCTCTGGGAACGAAGTCGCTCGGTGTTGATGGGGAACAGCGTGCGCTGCGGAGGCAGGCGCCAGGCAGAACATGACTTCAGAAGGAATGTGTGTGCGTCTTCAAGACGGTGAGAAGCCACTGAGGGAATTTCAGCAGACAGATACTTCTTACCAGTTTTACTGGTAAACTGCAGTGGAACAGTCGTTCAGGCTAACGCAATACTCTTTAATTGCCAGTGATCTAGCTATCCCCTCAATGCACCAGGAGGCCCACCAATTCAGTTAAGCTCTCTTTACAGGGGTGTCCTCAGCTGGCCTCTACATTAGGGTGTGACCTATGTTTGCTAAACCTTTTATTAGCACTCTGCATTCCCTCCTCAATATAATTCTAGGGGATAAAATTAGGCTTGCTGTAGAAGTGCTGGGGTGATCACTTTATTAATTCATGTGTATATGTGCTCAATAAGGATGTTTCAGGTCAATCCAGGGTATTCTGCGAGGTTAAGTACATACACAAGCCATGAGTAACGTAAATATTCTCTAACAAGATAGATTAGATCACCTAACGAGGCAGTCTATTCACTTTTCTCCATGGAAAATGGGCCACACATGGCACTGATCTCCCAGGTTACAAGTTATTCCTGGACACGTAGCACACCGGCAAGGACCACTGCAGGAAGGAGTACTGGGTACATTAGCACTCTGTTTCCCAAATAGTATCTTTGAGCACACATTAGAAAAGTACTTGAAAAAAAAAGTATTTGAATAACTTCTTAGAAAACCTCTCTTGGTTATTGCTCTTGAACTTCTAATTAAACTGGCTTTTCAAAGACAAGGACATAACATTCTCCTACCAGCTGAGGAGTTATTTGCCACCTACACTCCATCCCTATGCGATTTTTGTATACAACGCTGTCACATTTTAACATACTATATAACTTCATTCATTCTGTACTGTTGTCTCCCTTTGTTAAGTGCAAGCTCTTGGAAAGCATGTATTTTTATGCTTCTTCAATGATGTAACAATAGTGGCTAATCCAGCCTACTATATACAAGGTGCTCTTTTCCAAAAAATCATCTGGAAACGCATTATCACAGGCGTTCCTTCACGTGGTTGTCTTCTGTCCTTCGAGGAAGAGCCAAACTCACCTCCCAATTTTTATCAATTCTGCTTCTTCTCTTTTTTTGGTGGGCTCGTGTGGCTAAATACTACCTAGTCAAGCAACAAAATTGTAGGTAGTAATTGCACACTTTTAGAAGGCAAATCAACTTTCAAGAGCAATGAACCACTCATCTTTATAGCTGAGGTCTTATATGTCATTCATCACAAACTGAACACTCATTCATACTGTCGCTGCACACCGCCATAAGCGCATGTGTCCTATGGCAGCTGTTACACTGGAGTGACTCAGGCATCCTCCTGATGCAATGGAGTAGCTGACTAGCCTCTGGCAGACCTGACATTCCGGGAAGGCCGTTATGACTCCTTTCTGAGGATCTGAATTTCTTCCCCAGAACAGCACCAGAAGATTTATCATTCTTGCAATCCATCCTTTCTACTTACGCACCCATCCAAGAATTATGCATCAACTCCATACAACCTTTTTTCACTGCTAATCCCTAGGAAATTTTTCTTGAAAACAAACTATATGACAATTTCTACGAAAGTAGTCTTGTTAACATATCCTCAACAAACTAAAACAGTGACTCACAGTTAAGTGCTCAAAAGATTTGTCGAAAGAGCAGTGAACGTTTATGCCTTTATTGTTCATTTCCAAGTGCACAGTCTTACGAGGGTCAAGGTCCTGGAGACAGAGGCCTACCCGAGAACTAGTGAGTCAGCCTAACCGGGGCACAGCCAGGCGGCTTGTGCTCACAACCTTCTGGTAGGCAGAATCCTAAACTGGCTCCCCAAGGTGTCCCACCTTCTCCTTCTAGACTGTGAATGAGACACCGTACCTGTGACTCCGTGGAAAAACAGACTTGAATTACAGATGTAATTAAAGTCATAACCAGTTGACTTTCAGTTGACCCAAAAGATTATTGGCAGGACGAATCACACAAACCCTTTAATGGCACAGCTTATCTGGCCTGTAGCAGAAGCCAGATGTCAGGCAGCTTGAAGATGGAGGAGCCCATGTGTTCATGTTAAAAGAAATGTGGTGGTTTGAGTGTCTGGTCTGGTGGTTAAAATGCTGCTTGGGACACGTTTTTGAGTCCTGGCTCTAATTCCAGCTTCCTGCTAACGCACAGCCTAAGAAGCAGGCGATGGATCAAGTAGTCAAGTTCATCACCCAGGAGGGAATCCTGGACTGAGTTCCTGGCTCCCACCTTAGGCCTGGCTGATTCAGCTGCTGTGGGAATTTTGGAGGTGAATAAGAGGATGGGAGCTCTCTTTCGTAATAAAATAAAATTACAAACATAACAAAGAAATGTGGGTAGATTCCAAGAGCAGTGGCACCTGACAATCAGAAACCAAATGGGGACCTCAGTCCTAGAATGACAGGATCTAATTTCTGCCAACAAGCTCTGACCTGATCCTTTAAAAAGACAACAAGTGAGAGCCCAGCCTGGCTCTCAGCTTTTCCGCTTTCTGAGACCCTAAGTGAGAACCCAGACCAGGGAAGCCTGCCCAGGCTTCTGATCTACAGAACTGTGGGATACCAACCAGCTACATTTGTTAAGCAGCAACAGAAAACTACTATAATCATCCCATACTAGAAAATGTTTTTCTGCAATGACCAAACCTGTAACTGTAGCAATTTTTTTTTTTTTTTTTGGACAGGCAGAGTGGACAGTGAGAGAGAGAAAGGTCTTCCTTTTGCTGTTGGTTCACCCTCCAATGGCCGCTGCGGCAGCCGGCGCACTGCGCTGATCTGAAGCCAGGAGCCAGGTGCTTCTCCTGGTCTCCCATGTGGGTGCAGGGCCCAAGCACTTGGGCCATCCTCCATTGCACTCCCTGGCCACAGCAGAGAGCTGGCTTGAAAGAGGGGCAACCGGGACAGAATTCGGCGCCCTGACCGGGACTAGAACCCGATGTGCTGACGCGGCAAGGCAGAGGATTAGCCTAGTGAGCCGCGGCACCGGCCAAGCAGATTTTTAAGTAACTCACTTGTCAAATCAAAGGTACCAACTCATTTCCCACCATGTAAACCCACTCCTGCATTTCCCTTTTCTGGAGTTTCACTGTTTTCCCTTTCAGTGTCCATGGAACTACTGCCCAGGAAAAAGAACTCCACCGAAATTAGTTTCTACATCTGAAAACAAGATAAACGGAAGTTACTAACTAGGAGAAAGTTTCTTTGGACAGTGTCCAGCTCCTAACACTGGTATCTGAAATAAACCCAGGGGGTAGATTTTTAGCCTGGTAGTTACACACTGGTGTCCTATATTGGAGTACTTCAGTTCAACCTCCAGCTCTAGCTCCTGATAATGCAGAACCTGGGACGCAGCTGGTGATGGTTCCAATAATTGGGTTCCTCTCAAACACATGTGAGACCTTGGTTGTATTTCTGGCTCCTGGCCTTGGCCATACTAGTTGTGGGAATAAAAAAAAATGTGTTTAAATTATAATGAATCCACAAAGATAAAGGGATAAATGTGGCAATACCCAAAAAGTTGACATCCACGTCAATAAATTTGCAAAACTAAAAAAGGTAGACTGCAAATAAAAGTGAAATTATGTGCAACTTCTCTCACTAGACTCAAGTTGGAAAACAAGTGAATATGTACACTGAATCAGAAAATTATTTTAATAGTTACAAAACATCTCTTTTTACAGAATTGGTATAAAATAGCAGTTGATTTCTCCATAATTATCAGAATTATTTATACTTGAGGTCTTGGCTAAGTGGGGCTGAAATCAACACAAGGTCTTGGACTGCTGGCTCAGAAATCATCCTAGGAAGCCTGCCCGCTGATGCCTGTCATGCTTAGCTCTCGTGAGATGATCCGGTCCTTAAAAAAATTCATCTTTCCTTCTTCATTCATTCTTTGGAGGCTTGAAGTGAATTCGGCAGCGTTCATTAAACACCTAAGATAGATTAACAGAAATAAAGGTTGCTGAGTCATCCTGTGTAAGTCAGGTCTGGAACTAAATTCAGTCTGCCATGCTTCAGGAGGAGAGCACCATTTTCACCCCACATCAAGAGAATTAGGAAACTGACTTACAAGGTGTAAAGCACACAAAAGGCCTAGATATCTACTCACAGGGCAATGAGAATTTTTCTAAAACTGAAAATAGTCAAAGAAAAATCAAGAACCAGCTAATTTTGTAACTAACAAACACTTCAGATCTACTTTCTGGACGTGTGTTGGACAATCAGATAACACTATCAAGTAGTTTTAAGATAAACCATTTTTCTCTTTTTTAAAAACAGACTTTGTTACTTAGATACTAGTTGTACTTCTCTAATTGTATGCTAGATCTTTCTCACAAGCAGGTATACCTGCCAGGTAAACCAATATTTTGTTAAATTGTATGAATCCATATTTCTTGTTGTTTACCTTGTTTCCCAAAAATCTAAACAAATAACATATCATAAATGTTATTTGACTATTTTCAATATGGAACTGTAAAAAAATTTTGATACAACTATGCAATGGAATATAATGCAAACTTATAAAAAAAACAAGGAAGTTCTTTATGTTCAGATTTGAAAAGCTCTCCAACAAAAATTAAGGGGAAAAAAATGAAGTGTGGCTAGGATTTTCCTATTTGTGTAACAAAGAAGGAAAAACACACACATAAAATTAGAAAGGCTGCAAATAGCTGAAAGCCTGGACCACCCTCTCAGAGGGAAAGGAAAGAAAAAAAGGAAGTAGTTGAAATAGAGGGCTGAGAGAATTGTTACTGTGGATCTTGTTTTAAAAAGAATTATTTTATTTATTTGAAAGGCAGAGTGACAGAGAGAGAAAGAGATTTTCCATCTGCTGGTTCATTCCCCAAATGGCAGCAACTGCTGGGGCTAGGCCAAGCTCAAGCCAGGAACCCAGAATTCCACCCAGCTCTCCAACATGTATGGGATAGAGGTCCAAATATCTAGGCCATCTTTTGCCATGCTCCCAGGCCCATTAGCAGGAAACTGGATAGGAATTAGAGTAGCGGAGACTCAAAGCAGAGCTCTGAAATGGGATGCTGGCACTGCAGGTGGCTGCTTAATTCACTGTGCCACAAGTCTGGCATCTGTATTTCTTTTAATACTTAAATGCCCAATTTAAGCATTGTGGCTAAGCAGGTTAAGCCACCACCTGTGTTTAACATACCAGCTATTCCACTTCTGATCTAGCTCTTTGCCAATGATGCAAATCAATCTCTCTCTCTCTCTCTCTAATTCTGCATTTCCAATAAATAATCTTTCTCAAAAAGATTAAGAATAAATAAATAGGGGCTGGTTCTGTGGCATAGTGGGCTAAGCTTCTGCCTGCAGCGCCGGCATTCCATATTGGCGCCAGTTCATGTCCCAGCTACTCCACTTCTGATCCAACTCTGCTATGGCCTGGGAAAGCAGTGGAAGATGAACCAAGTGCTTGGGTCCCTGCATCTGTGTGGGAGACTGGGAAGAAGCTCCTGGCTCCTAGCTTTGGATTGGCCCAGCTCTGCTGCTCCAGCCATCTGGGGAGTCTTTCTCTCTGTCTTTCCCTCCCTCTGTCTGTAATTCTACCTCTCAAATAAAAAAAATCTTAAAAAAATAAATAAATGAAAAATAAAAAGTTCTAGGGGTGGGAGTTGTAACACAGTGAGTTAAGGCACTACATGGGATTCCCACATCCCCTGTTAGAGGGCTTGGTTTGAGTCCAGGCTACTCTGTGCTTCTGATCCAGAAGGGAGGTATCAGATGGTGGCAAAAAATACTTGGTTGGGTTCCTGCCACCCACATATGGGAGACCTGGATGGAATTCCTAGTTCTTGGACTTGGCCTGGTCCAGCTCAGGCTGTTGTGGGTATCTGGAGAATGAACCAGTGGATAGACAATCTCTCTGTCTCTCCTTCTCTGTCACTCTGCCCTTCAAATAATTAAACAATGTTTTATTTTAAAAAAACTTAACATATAAAAGAATTTCTCAAAATTTACTCTCATGCCTCATTGATGTAAGAACAAACAGTTTTAGAGGTTTTTTCTTAAAAAGACCTCTTAGTTTTAGGGGCCATTGTGGTGGCATAGCGATAAAGCTGCCGCCTGCAGTGCCAGCATCCCATATTGGTGCCAGTTCAAGACTCAGCCGCTCCACTTCCGATCCAGCTCTCTGCTACGGCCTGGGAAAGCAGTGGAAGATGGCCCAACTCCTTGGGCCTCTGCACCCGCATGGGAGACCTAGAAGAAGCCCCTGGCTCCTGGCTTCGGATTGGTGCAGTTACGGCTGTTGCAGCCAACTGGGAAGTGAACCAGTGGATGGAAGACCTCTCTCTCTCTCTCTGCCTCTACTTTTCTCTGTGTAACTCTTTCAAATAAATAAATAAAAACCTGTTGGCTGCTGATTATTTGAAAAACTCTTAGCCACTTTCATCATATAATTCATTTCACTTCAGTTTCTAGCTCTGCCATTTCCCTGAAATTCACTATGCTCAGACCAGATGAGGCTTCAAGTTAGTGGCCCACACACACTGGTTGGGATGATATAAATGACTTGGTTGAGTCTCTCAAAACCTGTTTTCTAAATGATTTCCTATAGTTACATATTTCTTTTAAAAACGGGTAGGAGCCTTACTTTCTATGAAATGGACAGAGTAGATTTTCTTTAAATTCAAATAATGCCTCACTCTTCCTACCATATTACATTTTAGGTATCTCACAAACCTCTGTACTAGGTTTTTCAAGCTAGATGCTCACTGTACCCCAACATTCCATTCCAAGAGTAAAGATGATTTCTCCAGAGTATAAATGGGCAAAAATTGCCAGAATCTTTCAAGTAGTGCACACCTTATCCTGTCAGTGCAATGGCCAGGAGTGGGAAATCTCGGAAAAGAGGACAGAATAAAGCAATGTGATAAAGCTAAGAAAATCAATTTTGTAACTTATTAATGGCCCTCTAAGTGGATATACTCTAGTTTTTTGAATTTAAAAATTTTTTAAATTTATTTTTTTTTTTGACAGGCAGAGTTAGACAGTGAGAGTGAGTGAGTGAGAGAGAGAGAGAGAGAGAGAGAAATCTTCCTTTTTCTGTTGGCTCACCCCCCCCCCCCAAGTGGCCGCTATGGCCGGTGTGTTGCGGCTGGTGTGCTGCAGCCGGTGCGCTGCACCGATTTGAAGCCAGGAGCCAGGTGCTTCCTCCTGGTCTCCCATGCAGGTGCAGGGCCCAAGGACCTGGGCCATCCTCCACTGCACTCCCGGGCCACAGCAGAGAGCTGGACTGGAAGAGGGGCAACCAGGACAGAATCTGGCGCCCCGACCGGGACTAGAACCCGGGGTGCCGGTGCCACAGGCGGAGGATTATCCTATTGAGCCACGGTGCCAGCCTTGAAGTTCTCTTAAAACCACGTTTAATATCATTCCCTTAGTTAATTTCAAAGGTTAAAACAAAATTTTCAATTATTCTTTTAGATTTAGTAAAGTTTCAGTGGTGGGGGGATAAACAGATGCACCTTTTTAGGAAACTCTCAAGTCAGCTTTGTGCGTTTTTCTGACTGTACATGTCAAGTCCTGCATCTCCCCTCTCGTTCCCACTCAGCACCATCAGGTGGTAATAGGCACATGTGAATCTATGAGCCCTAAGACCACACAAAGCTACATAACACAAAGCTTCAGGACCAGATGATAGAGGACAAGCAATTGTAAGGGGAAACCAATGACTTGAAAATTTATGGCAAACAACTGAGTTCAAAAAAAGGCTACTTTTAACAAGTAACCTCTCTGAAGGTTCTGAACTGATTGGAGTCATAATTCTAAATATCAAATTTGCCCAAATTAGTATTAGGAGACATATGGAATGTCTATAATTCTGTTACCATGGCAGATCACAGAATCCTATTGCACACCCAAAAAGTTAATTCTTTAAGATAGCTCTATTTAGATTCTAACAGTACCTTACCATCAAAACAAAAACAAAAACCGGCAAAAACCCACAGTTCTTGAAAATGGCGATCTCAAGGCATTCCTTACTCCCCCTCCCTGTTCCCCTACTGCTATCTGAGAATTGGCATTTTATACCTTCCAGCTCCTGTCATTTACGACTTCTTCAACATTTAGTTCTGACTGCATCCATTTCAACTGCAAGAAAAAAAAGTGAAGTTATGAAATTCAAAGAACTAAAACTCAACTCTACTTTGTTTTCACAATAAAAGCAGCTATTGCCCTTCTATTCTTTATCTGTTTATGGTAACTGTGGACTCTCCTTTGACATAACCCACTTCCCCATATCCAATTAATTTTTCAACCTCATAGGAGAGTAGTTCTCAAACTTTGCTGCATATCATAAATCCTTCAGTGCCTCAAAAAAATAAATAAATAAATCCCAGTACCCAGGCATTTCACAAAAGACAAATGACCAATAAACACATTTTCGAAATGTTCAATGTCATTCATGTATAAAATGCAAATAAAGTCATATAACAAAATGAAACACAGAAAGGAATCTGATAAAACATTATTATTGATGATGTAGGAAAAGATATCGTTAAACAAATTTTTAGTAGAATTATAAGTTGCTGTAATTTCTATGGAAGGTAATCTGGTAAGACCAAAAATTTATATTAATATGTCTTTGAATACAAAATTCCAGTTCTAGAACTTGATCACACAATTCCAGATTTGGAAAGACAGCACAAAGGAATAGAAGGACAAGGAGGTGGCAATCTGATTGGATAAAAGTTATAAAAAAAAGAATACAGAGGAAAATAGGGAGAGGGCAAAGGAAATATGTAAGTCCCAAGTAATTTAAAAAGGCATGAGTATCCTATCTTTCTTTCTAACTGCCAAGCTAACCACTCTACCAAAAAACAAACCGATTCCACTGACAGGTCCAAACGGCAGTACCCATAATACTCCTTTTGTTGTATCAGGTCGGACAGACTTGAAAGGAAAGAAGGAAGAGAGCTTGGAAATAGTCAGGAAAATTAGAGAAAAAAGCATGAACTGTAGGTTGAGGCTGCCAAGAGGTTAAACCAGGATTTTTTTCTTAGGCCAAAGTTAAGAGAGGGCAGATTTGGGAATAAGATGATACCTAGATAAGACCTGGGCAACCATGAGTCTCACACCTAGGCCAGAGATCCTGACCCGTTAGGAGGACGGCTCAGGCAGAAGGTGTGAGAAACTTTCATGTAACACTAATAAGAATTCAGTAATGATCCACTGGCTCCTGGTAAACTCCTCTCCTGGAGACAGATCCAGTGTGGAAGCACAGGCAGGCACACGTGGTAGAACTGTGGAAGGAGGGCAGACCTGCACCATCCTCTGCTGTGGAACAGGGACAAGTCTGAGGAAGCCCAGTAATGCAGACTCAGTTTCTGATTTTAATCAACCATAAAGACCAAAAGTCATTTCAACTTCCCCACTCTGTCAAAGCCTGGCCAGGCCGCCACAGAAGTAGTAACTTCAGTTGAAGAACAGGGTGTGACTACATGCTACTAAGACAGCAGTTACCATAATCGCTCAAAGTTTAAAGGAATGTCACAGGGGAAGGGTTTACACCTATCCTGTATGTTCCAGAGGGAAGATTAAGGAGCAGTATTTACAAGTTATAGGGGTCAGATTTTCTCACACAACAAAATCTTTGAAATGCACTGACACAGAAGAGAGTGAGTCCTTCCTTCCCAAAACCTTGCCTTAAGTAGTGGTTAAGCAAAAGGCAGTGTTAAATAAAAATTTCAGTAGGCCTCTGTTTGGGGCTCAGCTCCTACACTAGGCCCAAAGAGACCAGCCTAAACACCAAAATGGAGTCACTTATCACCAAACAAACTATACTGTTAGCTGAGCTTCCTAGAAATCAGCAGAGGTAACAACCAAATTTCCGAGGCAGGCCAGTTTCAATAATGTAGTTCCCTTTGTTTTAGTCCTTATAGAAAAAGTAACCTGATGTTAACCAGTTAGTATCGCTTCTCGGCCTTTTGGCTAAGATCAAGTGTTAACCAGTTAGTTTTGTTGTTGCTGTTCTACCTCCCAAAGTTTCTAAAAATACTCTTAGCTGTCGGCCCCAAAGGCATTTTTCCAACTGCCATCTGGCCTTACTGCTGGTGGTTCCTGGACTGTCGTCCCAGGACCTTGGCCTTTTCTGGCCAGCATCTGTAATGACTCAATAAACCCTGTCTTTCAGAGGTCCCTCAGTCTCAAGAACTTTTACAGACTACCAAGGAGAAGTTGTAGAGCAATTAATCAGAAAGACACAAAACTACCAAGGTAGCTGGGATTTATTTCTGCCTTTGTAATCCATGTTTTTCCTGTTCTAGAACACTGCAGACAACTTCTAGTATCAGGCTAGCAACAAACTTCACTCTAACACGGTTGTTCTGGAGGCTCTGGGTCTTATACGGGTCAACATCTTCCTAAGGCTCACCTGGGTGACAGCACTACACAGTTCCAGCAAGGCAGGAACTTCATCTGATGAAGGATTCAGGTAAAGAACTGGGATTTTTAGAGTGACACCTCTGTACATAAATAAAACGAACTCACTGAAGTAATCAGAATTTGACTATTAGTCACAATCTGATGTAAAGAAACTGAGTCCAGAGTTGGAAAACTGGATTAAAGACTCAGTTCTACCACTTACTAGCTTGTGACTTTAAGAATGTTGGTTGGCTTCACAAGCCTGTTTCTGGTATATAAAACACATCTGTAAGTGTGGTAGAGGCCTCCCTAGGTCAGACAGAGAAAAAGAAAATTACCCTGGAAATGAAACATGTTCATTAACTGCTTGCCTATGAATGCTTCAACTGTAGCTATTACCTGCTTACATGTAATCACTTCAAGTTCTGTTTGCTAATACAGAGCAATGGCATTAATCCTTGCCAGAAATACAGCTCAGTATGTGTGTGGGAAAAAAACATCTGTAATATCTACACATGTCGAAGAATTGTATCAATTCCTGTGGCTGCTATTAGAATATCCAACCAAATATACCTATGTAGCCATATAAGGGAGACAAAGAAGCTAAAACCATATATAAGGAAATACCCCTCTTTGTTCAGGGCTCAGTCTTTTTGAACACAAATCCGGTTGAGTCTTAGGCTGGATAAAAATTTAAGGCAGCTTCCTGGCCTTGGTGTCTTGTCTTTGTTCATGAATCCCGCTACACAAGAGCCCCTGTTTCTGATTCCATAACCTTCATAGCAAACTTGAAAAAAAAAAGAAAAGCCCATGTTTCCTTATCTGCTTACATACTACTCATGGCTACCCTGTATCACTGTATATTATCAGGTGAGAAAGCAAGCCTGACTCACTCAGCAAGTGACCGCTTCCTCAACCCCATCTTGCAGGTGATTTTTTTTTCTGGCCTTAGAGCAAAAGGGCAGATCTGAGGGCTGCCTGGGCAAACCGTGACACAATCACTCCCAAACACCAAGTGGTTTAGAGTTTTGAACTTTGCTCTCCACTAACAGGAGTTACTCCTGTCTCTGTTTGACTTACTTTTTCACCTTAATTGCAAATAGTGATTTTTCAGTTTCTTATTTAACTGCCCTGCCCCAAGTTGCCTTTGTCAACACCTTCAAGAGTCTGTTAAAATACAAAATTCAAGGTTACCCAGACTTAATCAGTTTTACATAAATCATGTGTAGGCCACCTTCCTGAAGACTGAGGGTAGGGTAGAGGAACATTTCAGCATGATTTCTATGAGGAGTCACCACTGCCTGAAGAATGAATGGCTAAGGAATACAGACCGGAAGTCCTGTTCCCCAGTGAGACACACCCACTGGGGGCTCTGATGAAGACAGTGCAGCAGCCCGGCCTACTCACCTGTGTGCAGCAACAAGGAACAGAGCTGCTCTTTTCTCCTAGAGTCTCAGAGAGATGACAAGGTCCCCTTTTCAAAGTCAGGCAGCAGCTTGTAAATAAAGGGCAAACTTCACAACTGTTCATTTGAAAGCATAATTCTATCCCACACTGGATTCAGTCGCCTACTGTGCCATCTTAAAATAGGGACATGATTCTGATAATTTTTCACTGGCATGGGAGAAAAAGGACCCCGTTCCTAGGAAATAATCAACCTATGTAATGATAAAGGGGTATAATGTGTTCAACACACTCTCAGAACAAAAAATGTTTATGCATGGAGGTGTGCGGAAAGAGAAGGAGGAAGACGGGGGAGGATGAAGGGAAGGAGGGAGGTGAAGAGAAGAAACTGTCCAGCAGGCCAGGCACCAGGTAAGGAACAAGGGACAGAGGTAAAGGCTACATGGGGGTTCCTTGTACTGCTCTTGCAACTTTACAGTAAGTTTGAAATTACACACAAAAAAGTCACAAGAGCTGAAACAGTTTTGCCATGTCAGAACCCTACACTCATTACAGCTGACTTGGGAAAATAAGGCTTCCTCTGACACATCTGCCCTTTTGTAAAAGTGAAAACACGGCATGAGTGGGAGATGAAGTGGAAAAAGGCGTGTCCAGAAAAAGCCAAAGGCCCAGCAACTTCTACACAGTAGGGAAAAAAATTATGAGGTACTAGTCCATCTGATTATTTTTAAATAGTACCATGGTTTTTATTGTTGAAGAGGATAATGTGAAGTCAAACAACCTGTATTACATTTCAGCAGATTTCTACAGAATGAAACCAGAAGTAAATATTTTCAAATTGTAACTGTATTTAAAAGTTTCTTCTGAAGTTAAGCCTTAAAACGTAGATATAGGCATGATTTCCCTAGAATTCTAACGTGATGCTGGTCTGCACCGATCCTTTAACAGTGGGGAACAAATAAGGGAATAGAAATAAAATCTGATTATGACTTATTTTTAGCTAAAGCTGCTAAACTTTGCTTATGAAATGTGCATTAATTTACCAATTAAGCTCTAAATGTAGTAAAACAAAGCTCACTAAAAATGAAGCACTCATCCACTGGTCATTTTTTAAAAAGTAAAACCATGTCTTGATTCTAAGTTTTGCATATTAAAAAATGCCTTCATTTGGAAGTCTACATTTGGAAAAACTCTGAGAAGTATAAATTCTATTCAACTTACCTTTGTCTGTTCTTTTCTAAGTTGCTTTAATAATGTTAAATCATCCAAATTCTTTTCTCTTTCTTCTCGGAGGTTTCTTACTACTTCTGAGGTCTGGGCTATACAATTTTTTATGACTCTGTCCCTACTGGCATGAGCTGCCATCAACTAGAACAAAGGGAGGGGGGAATCACATTAATTTATCACATTTTAGTTTTTAAAAAGTCCTTATTTTGAGACTACAGAAATTTAATACTTCCTAAAATAATTTTTAAAAATTGAATCCATGGAGATTGTGTTGAGTCCACTAAATCACTTAAAACCACATAAAAGGAAGCGCCTCTGAGGGTGGAGGTCTAAGGTCCAGTGGTCTCCCCCCTCCCTCGATGTGCTCCCAGCTTTTCCTGCTCTTCCCTTCCTGTGTTCTCTGCTGGGCTTTTCTCGTCAGTACCCGGTCCTTTATAGTCCTCTACTATTCCATCCATGGGTTCCTTTATCCTACATGCACCCTCACGCACTTCTGGGCCATTTATTCCTACTTTTCCTCTCTCTCTTTTTTTTTTTTTTTCGTCCCTTTATATTGTTTTGCAGTCTCATGCTGTCAGCAAGGGAAAGTTCTTATAAACTAAGTAATCTACAGAAAATCTTGGTAATAATAAAGACAAAGAATGTTACATTTACTTATGTAAAAGCCCTTTCTGAAGATCTTAAAGTGGGGCTGTGGCTTAGCTGGTGGAGCTGCTGTCTGCAGTGTCAGCATCCCATGTGGGCGCCAGTTCGGTCCTGGCTGCTCCACTTCCAATCCAGTTCTCTGCTGTGGTCTGGGAGGGCTTGGGCCAGGGGCTTGGGCCCCTGCACCTCTATGAGACCCAGAGGAAACTCCTGGCTCCTGGCTTCGGATAGGCGCAGCTCTGGCCACTGTAGCCATCTTGAGGGTGAACCTGCTGATGGAAGACCTCTCTCTGCCTCTCAAATAAATAAATCTTTTAAAAAAATCTAAGTATTGATAAGGAAAGCATATATGAAGGATATATGTGAATAAACTATATGAAGCACAGATTAATGGATGCATTGATTGCATTGATTGAAAACAAGGACTTCTGATGGAACAACTCTTTAAAAACCACCATCTTAACATAAGAAATTGAATAGAACAGTTCTCATCTATTTTCTACTTTGATTCACAAGGAATAATAGTTATGATTCAAACATATTCCCATTACCATAGCCAAATTTTGATGACATCCAAAAAATCTGCATTGGTAAAGTGCTACTTCAAGTCCACTGACTTTTTATTTTTCAGTACTGACAGTCAACTACAATTAGAAAAATGTCATAGGTTGAAGGGAGTATGTTCTACTAGGGGGAATCTCATTCAAATTTTTTTTATTAAATATATTTTTGAGATTCAGAATTTTTAAAATTTCATAACTTTATTGATCATCTCCTGTGAAAAAGTGCTATTATCAGAGAATGCAAAATTCCTTCATCAGCTACAGAAGGAAGTTGGGTCAGGAACAAACATAAATCAGGGTGACTATGAGCAACCAGGAAAGTCAGAATTCCACTATACTTTATGTGATATTCATGTTGCCCTCTAGGAGAAACCAAAATATGTACACAAATACACCTAAGACAGAAAGGTTTCATATTTAATATGCAACAGCAAACATTTATTTGTATAATACTATATGGTAACCATTTTATAATAAAAATCTTACATAGCAATCCTCTTACAAACCTATGATCCAGGTACTATTATCTTACTATTTTATAGTAAGGAAGTAGCAAAGGTGGGATTTAATCTATATCTGGAATTCATGCTGTTAATTACTACACTATAAACCTCTAGGTTTAAATCTCATAGTCAATCAGGAACTGAACATATTCTTACTCTCAGTTGTGAGATTCTACTCATTAAATTCCACAGCTTGCAAATTCCGAGCCACAAGACTTACCTGGTCTCCCAATAAAATAACATATTTTAATATAAGCGGAACAAATATACCAAGAGTTAATGCTCTGAATTTAATTGACATAAATAAGCTTATCCAAGACTAATTTTTTCCCCAGAGTTGAGAAATGTACTTTAGGTTTTCAGTACCCTCCTTACGTGACTATGAATTCAAATGTAACCTTGAGGTAGAATTTAAAATAGCATGCGTCATTTGAACTTTAGTTTCCAAGTTAATGAAAGCATATATGTAAATAAACTGTAAAAATATTCAGCTGTACCATTCTGCTTTTGGAAATTAAAACAGAAATAAAGAGAGGCAATGGAAAAATATGTGCTTGGGAAACCAAAGCCTCAGGAAAGGGCAATTTATCTGAAGTTTCCCTTCTCTCCCAACTCCCAGATACTTCTACTCCTTGACCTAGTAAGCGAGGGAACAAAGAAGAGCATAAAAGTATGAAGGATTTTTAATTCTTCCTTATATTATATTAGCTGTCTGGCTTAGGATTGAGCCATTCAAAATCCTGCTCCTATAACTGCTTTACTGTTTCACTTTCGCCTTCATTCCTTTGTGCCCAAGGCCTCTTTAAAAGGCTGAATATAAAAAGGCAAAAACCAACTGCTCCAATCCTGTAGAACCACATCCTCACAGATTTGTACATAAAGAGCACACATTGTCTTTAGTTTATAGAACCCATATCAAAACTTCTATATATTCTCAGGTGAACAGAGAAACAGGAAGATGGTATTTTTATTCACAATAATGCCATTAGATTTAGTTTGCCTGTAAAGAAAGGCATAAAAAAAGCATGAAAGACTTAAAAGAGTAACTTACAGACTCATAAAGTTGTTTACAGGTTTGGCTGGCATCAATTTTCCCTGCAAAGGAAGCTGTTGGAACCGTAGTGTTTAATTCATGAACTATTCTGTCATCAATTGTCCTCATCACCTTGAGTAATTCCTATATATATTTAAAATAAAAGAATATAACTTGAATGGAAAGTTAAGTGATTAAAAAAGTATTTAAACAAATAATAAGGTCCTAGGGTATTTTACAACCATTTAAGTTAGGAGTGGGGAAACCAAGCCAAATATAGCACAGCCTTGAGAAACCATTTATTATGAGCACAGGTAGGCAATCCAGTCGTAATTCTAACAGAGGATACCAACTCTGTCTCCTTGACTCAACTGTGAGTGTCCTAAGGGTTAAAATCTGCTTACACATGCTTAAAACCAATTAGCTGGTATGGTGCTTAGCAAATATGCTCTTCCCATCCCTAGCACATATTCAAAAAGGGTTCTACTCAACTTGATTCCCACAAATTCTCCACAACAATCCAGCACATTCGCGCTTTACCTATCATTGTAAAATGTGGTAACAGGTAGAAAACTTCTAGAAAGATATAAAAGAAACTATTAGTTAACTTGCAGATACTAATATATACCTTCTTAGGCTTTTAGTTTTTATTATAATTGTACATTATTTTGTGACAAAAATAAGTAAATCAAAACATGCTTTAGGGAAGAAATCAAATCTTTTTATGGTTCTCTTATGTACAGAACAAGCAGGAATTAGTTTTAACTTTTTCACAGTACCCCTAGTGCCCATCTCCCAAGGATATTCCCCCTATCAAAAAGCCTCTGGCTCTCATAAAACCCAACCAAAATGGCAGGGAACTTACAAAAACTGAGGGGTATTGTAGATCCTTCTCCCCACATTGTGATCAGGGCACTTCTTTTCCACTTGTCACTAGAGAAAGGCTGCATATCAGCTAATCTGTCATCAGTCATTCATAAACTCTGGGAGAAGTTTCTAACAGCATTCTCTCTCTTTTTTTTTTAAACTGTTTCTTAAACGTATAAGCATCCCCCCAAAATATCGCTGAAAATTCATCAAGCACACAACATTAAATACTAGAAATATACTTATTTTCAAAAACATTTGTGACCAGCATTGTGTTAAGAGCAGGTTAAGCTACCACCTCTACATTCTACACTGAAGTGCCAGTTTGAGTCCCAGCTGCCCTGCTTCCAATCCAGCTTCCTGCTAACAGACCTGGGAAAGCAGTGGAAGATGGGCTGAGCTTGGAGCTCTGCCACTGAGGTAGGAGACCCAGATAGAGTTCCTGGCTCCTTGCTTTGGCTTGGCTTAGTTCTGGCCAAGGCCGTCATCTGGGAGTGACTAACTAGTGGATGGAAAAGTTTATTCTGTCTCACTCTGTCACTTTGCCTTTCAAATAAATAAATCTTTTAAAAATTGAGTTATCATCCAATATCAATACTTTTTTAAAAAGATTTATCCATTTATTTGAAAGACACAGCTACAGAGAGAGAGAGAGAGATCTTCCAACCACTGGTTCACTCCCGTAATGGCTGGAGCTGAGCCAATCTGAAGTCAGGAGCCAGGAGATTCCTTTAAGTCTACCACACGGATGCAGGGGCCCAAAGACTTGGGCCATCTTTCCGCTTCTTTCCCAGACACATTAGTAAGGAGCTGGATCAGAAGTGGAGCAGCAGGGACTTGAACTGATGCTCATATGGGATGCCGGCACTGCAGGTGGCGGCTTAACCTGCTAAGCCACAGTGCTGGCTCAAATATTAATACTTCTTAACAAAGCAACTTTGCTGGATTCTTAATTTCCCTAAACATACCATCCTGCTGCTTTCCTTCGCCAAACTGAAATCAACGCTTTCAGTTCTTTACTCATCAATTTGTTAAAACATTTAATAAAAATACTACCTTCATTTTAGAAAAATTAGAAATAATCATAGTTAATTATTAACATCTCGAGTTGTTTTTCTACATCCATGAATAGTTTTAAAGATTTATTTATTTATTTGAAAGGCTGAGTTAGAGAGAGAGAAAAAGAGAGACAGACAGACCGACCTTTCATTTGCTGGTTCATTCCCCAAATGGCCACAAGGCTGGGGTTGGACCAGGTCAAAGCCAGGAGCCTAGAACTACATCCGGACCTCCCACATGGGTGGCAGGGACTTAAACACTCTGTAGCTTTCCCAGGCACATTAGGAGGGAGGTGGACTGGAAGTAGAGCAGTTGGCCCACAAACTGGTGTTCGTATGGGATGCTGGTGTCACAAGCAGCAGCTCAATCCACTGCACCACATTGCCAGCCTGTCTGAATATTTTTATAAACTGATGTACTAACACTTTAAAGCCCTACTTTATGACATACCATTTTAATTTACTTTTAAAAGATTTTTTTTTTTTTTAATTTACTTCAAAGGCAGAGACATGGGCTGGCAGGCTAAGTCTCCGCATGAGACAGCAGCATTGCATGAGTTCTGGTTCGTGACCTGGCTGCTTCTCTTCTGATCTAACTCTGATCTAGATCTCTTTCTCCGCTTAAGGCCTGGGAAAGCAGTGGAAGATGACGGAAGTGCTTGGGCCCCTGCACCTGCATGGGAGACCCAGATGAAGCTCCTGGCTTCGGATCAGCCCAGAGTCCGGCCGTTGCAACCATCTGGGGAGTGAACCAGCAGATGCACGACCTTTCTCTCTGTTTCTCCCTCTGTCTGCAACTCATTCTCTCAAATAAATAAATCTCAAAATAAGAAAGAGAGAGAGAGAGAGAGAGAGAGAGAGAGGGAGGGAGGGAGGGAGGGAGGGAAAGAAGGAAAGAAAGAGAAGGAAGGAAGGAAGGAAGGAAGGAAGGAAGGAAGGAAGGAAGGAAGGAAGGAAGGAAAGAAAGAGAAAGAGAGAAGGAAAGAAAGAGAAAGAGGAAGGAAGGAAAGAAGGGCAGACGGACAAAGAAAGAAAGAAAAAGAAAGGCAAAGGCATAGACAAAGACAGATCTTCTATCCACTAGTGCACTCCCTAAATGGCCCCAATGGCCAGGGATTGGCCAGGATAAGGTCAGGACCTGAAACTCCTTCTGGGTCTCCACATATGTTAGCAGGGGCCCAAGCACTTGGGCCATCATCTGCTGATTTCTCAGGTTCACTAGCAGGGAGCTGAGTCAGAAACACAGCAGTTAGGAGTCGAACCAGCACTCCGATATGGGATGACAGCTTCATAAGCTGTAACTTAACCCACTGTACCATGTCAGCCCCTTGAATACACTTTTTTTTATATTTGTTACAGGCATAGTTACAGAGAGAGCTAGAGATACAGAAAGAGACAGAGAGAGAGGCTTCTATCTGCTGGTTCACTTTCCAAATGGCCACAACGGTCAAAGCTGAACTGAGCCAATCGGAAGCCAGGAGCCAGGAGCTTCTTTTGGGTCTCCCATGTGGGTGCAGGGGCCCAGGCACTTGGGCCATCCTCCACCGCTTTCCCAGGCATGTTAGCAGGAAGCTAGATTGGAAGTGGAGCAGCCAGAACTCGAACTGGCGCCTAAATGGGGTGCCTGTGTTGCAGGCCAGGGCTTTAACCCACTGAACAACAGTGCCAGCCCCTGAGTAAACTTTTAACAGCTGCATAAATATTTCACTCTGTGGAGGTACCACTATTTATTTGACTACTTCCTCATTAATAAACATTAAGGTTACTTTCAATTATAATAATTATTTAACTCAATTTGCAGTTTAGATTCTATTCCTATTATTCCATTAATTAGTGAGTTTAATGGCCCTTTCCAGATCTTAATCTAGAAACAAAATAGGTTACAGAAGGCCCATAATTTAGAATAGTTAAACATAGGCAAATTGAAGATCCAAAACCAAGTTCATTATCTTACCTCTTCTTCATGCATCTATTTTTGTTGGCAGTGTTTTCCATAAACTTTTTAAGGGGTAATTTTTAATTTTTAAGGGGTAATTTCAATATATTGATCATATATATATGCTATACATAATGGAAGACATATAATGCTCATAAGTTGTAAATTCCAAACAAATGGTAGTAGAACTCAGAAAGCCAGAAACAAACAAAAAGTAGGTGAGCAGCAGACGGGAACCCACCTTGCCAACTTTACCTCCTCTAACATGCCCATGGTGGGGAAAGCCTCCTTTAAAATCCTTTTTCAAAACCTTCCCTTCCCTCTCTAAAGTGAACTGATTTTCTGAGGCCAAGGCTGACTTGGCACCTTTTGGATAGTTTTCCTCGCTGTGAAAACCCTCAGTTTTTTTTTTTTTCCTTTAAATAATGCGGCAGTTAGAATACCACAAAGTTTGCTTATTAATTAACTCACTTTTCATTAATAATATTTACAATGTCTAGTATGAGTCATGCCATTCTAAACACCAGAGCTACAGTCATGAATAAAACCAAAAAGATAACTTGTTTCAAACAGCAAAAATTCCTGAAGGTAGAGACAGATAAAATACAAAATACCCCACAAATTAGGCAGAGATCAATAAAAGGCCTCTGTGAGCATGTAACATTTGAGTTGAAACCTGAATAATTTGAGTAACTATGAGAATATCTGGCGGAATCAAAAATTATAACAAACTTTAGGATGTTTGACAAACTAAAAGCAGACAAAGTCAGGGAGAAAGTGGGATGAGGTCAGGGGAGAGCAGGACATGGAGGACAATAAAACCATGGTGACAATGAAGGAGTCTGTTCTGAAGGCAACAGGGTTTTAGGCAAGGGAATAATTTTTTTAAAGGTAAGTTTGGCTGCTGGGTGGTGAAAGAAAACCGAATAACCCTTTAGGAGACTACTGTGGTGGCCTAGGCAAGAAATAAAGATGATTTGAAACAGCTGTGGCAGTAGAATTAAGGACGGGCAGATGGATTTAAGATGCACTTTGAAGATAGAGCTGAAAAGACTTGCTGATGAGCTGGTGGTAGACAGGTGAGAAAAGAAAATAGGATAACATGTAGATCTGAAGCCTGAGCAACTGAATGTATGGTAGTGTCATTAATGGACGGGAGTGGAGAAGACTGTGAAGGAAGAGTTGGGAGAAACAGGGAGAAGAGTTACATTCCAGGGCCGGCGCTATGGTGCAGTGGGTTGGCACCCTGGCCTAAAGTGCCGGCATCCCATATGGGCGCACAG